GACGGGTGGCTCCCGGGGAAGAACGAAGCCTTGAAGCCCTTTGGGCAGATCATCGGCGACTGTCGCAGCGGTCGAGGAAGTTGTTGCCGATGCTCAACAATTCCAGGCGGATGTGCGGAGAGACCTGCGTTCAATCCTGATGCGACTGGATCGTTATCCGACAATGCGGACGACAATGCCGCTTAATCCCACCGGTAGGCGTGGAATTGAGGGAGGAAGGGTCCCGAACAGAGATGCATCTGATTCCGACGAGGGTGTGGAAATGTTCAGAGAACTGGAACTTTCGGATTCGGAGGAAGATACTGGGTATCAGCATCGGCGGCGAATAAGAGGGAATGATCGACAACACAGCGAATTTCGCGTGAAGATGGACATCCCATTCTTCGACGGGAGATTACACATTGAAGACTACTTAGATTGGGAGCGCGCCGTGGAGACATTCTTCGAATACATGGACGTTGAGCCGATGAAACAAGTAAAGTACGTTGCCTGTAGACTGAAATCGGGAGCTAGTGCGTGGTGGCTTCAGCTATTACAGTCTAGAAGAAGAGAAGGCAAAGGACCGGTACGTAGTTGGTGGAGAATGAAGCAACTACTCAGAGGTCAGTTCTTACCGACCGACTATGAGCAACTATTATACATGCAATATCAACACTGTTCGCAGGGAAACAGATCCGTGAGTGACTACACGGAGGAATTCCACCGACTGTGCGCAAGAAATAACTTAAATGAAAATTCGAATCAGCTAGTAGCAAGGTATGTGGGGGGACTGAAAGAGGCTATACAAGAGAAACTGGAGCTAAACACTGTTTGGTCATTGTCTCAAGCGGTGAACTATGCTTTAAGGGTGGAAATGCAAATGTCCAGACATGGGAAGAGTAGCCAAGGGAAGAAGTTTGCCGAACCCGCACCAGACAGCAATCGTCCAGCCAATTTGAATATGGCTCCAACTGGACGTGTACAATCCAGCGGTGGAGGGAATTACATACCCAACAATGCTGTCAACAAGACGGGGGAGACTAAGTTTACGCCGAAATTCAAAGGTCAGTCCAAAGATAATCCTTATGCTAAACCCACAACAATTAAATGTTTCAGGTGTTTTCAACAAGGACATAAATCGAATGAGTGTCCAACACGACCCCAATTACACTTAATTGAGGCTGAGGATGAGGATGCAGCTGACGAGGCAGATGAGGTTCTCGAAAATGCGCTGGAAGATGTAGGGGGGGATGAAGGCGAACCATTAGTATGTGTAATCCAGAAGCTGCTCTTGGCTCCGAGAGTAGCAGACAAATCACAAAGAAACCGCATCTTCAAAACCAAAGGCACTATTAATGGAAAAGTTTGTGATGTTCTGGTAGATAGTGGATGCACTGAAAACGTAGTCTCTAAGGCTGCAGTTCTGGCCTTGCAACTTAAAACGTCTCCAAACACTCACCCGTATAAGGTGAGCTGGGTTAAAAAAGGGGTTGAAATGGCTGTCACTGAAAGTTGCGTCGTCCCATTTTCCATTGGGAAAAATTATTCAAGCGAAGTAGTATGTGATGTAATCGATATGGATGTAAGTCATTTAATCCTCGGAAGACCTTGGCAATTCGATATGGGAGCCACGCACGATTGTAGATCAAACACATATACTTTCAGCTGGAAAGGAAAGGTGCTGAGACTGCTGCCGGGCACAGGGGAATTAGAACCAATCGTTCACAATAATAAAGCTTCAATGCTTGTAGTTTCGGGAAATCAACTACTTCATGCCTGGAGAACATCGTCTCAAATCTTAGCCCTCATTGTTAAGGAGCAGAATCATGCAATTAAGGGAAGTCGGCCAGATGCTGTGAAGGGGCTGCTGCAGAAATATGCAGATATCGGACCCGCCGAACTCCCAGCAGAGTTACCTCCCTTGAGAAATATTCAACACAGCATTGACTTAATACCGGGATCAACAATACCGAACCTGCCTCATTACAGGTTGTGCCCGAAGGAGCAGAAGATTCTGCAGCAAATTGTAGAGGAACTGTTGGAGAAACAGCTAATTCAACACAGTCTGAGTCCATGTGCTGTTCCGGCCTTGTTGGTATCTAAGAAAGACGGAAGCTGGCGTATGTGTGTAGATAGCAGGGCAGTGAACAAGATTACGGTTAAATTCCGGTTTCCTATGCCGAGGATTGAAGAAATGCTGGAAAGGCTAGCCGGGTCCAAAATTTTCTCTAAATTGGACTTAAGAAGCGGGTATCACCAGATAAGGATTAAACCTGGAGACGAATGGAAGACAGCGTTTAAAACGCGAGAAGGACTTTATGAATGGCGTGTAATGCCATTCGGATTGTGCAACGCTCCAGCTACTTTCATGAGATTGATGAGTGAAGTCCTCAAGCCATTTTTGAATAAAATCTGTGTGGCTTACTTCGATGATGTGCTGGTATATAGTTCTAACCTGGAAGAACATTTGCAACACCTGGAACAAATATTCGAGGCCTTCCGACAACACAAATTGTATCTAAATTTGTCGAAGTGTGAATTTGCCACGGAGACCTATACTTCCTAGGATTCAAAATTTCGTCGGCGGGAGTTTGTGCAGATCCTCGGAAAGTAGAAGCCATAGTCAGCTGGCCTACACCTAAATCCTTCACCGACATAAGAAGCTTCCATGGTTTGGCGAATTTCTACAGGAAGTTTATAAGGGGCTTCAGTGTCATCCTTGCTCCGTTGACAGATGTGCTGAAACAGAAGCAATTCGTGTGGGGAAGTGATCAAGAGGCTAGTTTTGAAGCAATAAAATCGGCTGTTTCTTCTGCCCCGGTATTAGCCTTGCCAAATTTTGACAGACCATTTTCTGTGGAAACGGATGCTTCTACGGTCGGTATTGGGGCCGTGTTAACTCAAGAGGGCAAACCCATTGAATTCTTCAGTGAGAAGTTATGTCCAGCACGACAACGATGGTCTGTTTACGAACAGGAACTGTATGCGATAATCCGAGCATTAAAACAGTGGGAGCACTACTTGTTGCACCAAGACTTCATTTTTATGTAGTGATCATAAGGCACTACAATATATAAACACTCAAAAAAATATCAATCGTATGCATGCACGATGGATATTGTTTCTACAGAAATTTACATTTGTATTAAAACACAAGAGCCGCGCCCAAAATCGAGTTGCCGATGCGCTAAGCCGCCGAACCGCCCTTATTACTCAGCTACAGACAGAGTTTTCTGGACTAGAGCTGCTTCAAGACTTATACCCAGAGGATAAAGACTTTGGTAAACATTGGCGCCAGTGCATTCACAAGGAATCCTGTGATGATTACAACTTGAGACATGGGTTTCTGTTTAAAGGCAACCTTCTTTGCATCCCTCAATCATCATGGAGGCAGCGAATAATTCAGGAAGTTCATGGAGGAGGGTTAGCTGCTCATGCGGGACGGGACAAGACGCTAGATCAGCTACAAAACAAATTCTACTGGCCTCATATGAGAAGAGATGTCAGCAAGTATGTAGATCGCTGCTCGATTTGTCAAATGTATAAGGGAGGAGGACAGAACACTGGTCTTTATCAGCCGTTACCAGTACCCGAATCTATATGGGAAGATTTAAGCCTGGACTTCATTCTCGGCTTACCCCGCACCAAGCGAGGAAACGACTCGATCATGGTCGTTGTGGACCGCTTCTCCAAAATGTCTCACTTTATCGCCTGTAAGAAAACGTTTGACGCACAGAATATTGCTAAATTATTTTTTAGGGAGATCGTCAGACTCCATGGAGTGCCTCGAAGTCTCACCTCAGATAGGGACGTGAAATTTATCAGTCACTTTTGGAGGGAGCTGTGGAAAAGGTTCAAGACACAAGTTCAACTGAGTTCGTCATATCATCCCCAAACGGATGGGCAGACGGAGGTCGTTAATAGAACTCTGGGAAACCTCTTGCGCTGTTTAGTACAAGAGCAGCCAACTTTGTGGGATGAAGTGTTATGCCAAGCAGAGTTTGCATTCAATGCCATGGCGAACAGGTCTACGGGTATGTCTCCATTTGAAATTGTATACACTAAAACACCAAATACTGTATTAGATGTTGCAGCAATCCCGAACTGCAAGAGCAAAGCCGCAGCTGCGATGGTAGATCAATTTGCGGAGTTACTAGCCAAGGTGCGCTCAAAACTGGAAGAGTCCAATGCCAAATACAAACAGGATGCAGATTGTCATAAGCGAAGGTAGGTATTCAAACCGGGTGATCTTGTGTGGGTGCGGATGAAGAAGGAAAGATTGCCAGCCGGAGCATACAGCAAGCTCGGTCAAAGGAAATTCGGCCCATTTCCAATCCTTCGACGAATTAACGATAATGCCTATATCGTTCAACTACCTGCAGAATTCAACACACCAAATACCTTCAACGTTGCAGATTTATACCACTATCACCCAAAGGATGATGAACTGATCGAACCAACGACAGGACTGCAACTTTTTGGAGAGGGGACGTATGATGCGGAGCATCGTTATGAGGAGCACCGTTAATACGGTGTTACGCAGGAACTTTTTACCAAGCCATGTGCAGTGGCTGTTAGGGACATTCTCCACTTCCCTCGTTTACTTTATTTCCGTTTTTAGGCCGTTGGCATATGAGCCAACTATAGTTTCTTTTTACTGATATAGTACACCGTAGCTTCCATATTACCACGGGAGTAGCCGTGGTTCATCAGTTCTTGCATTTTAACAAAGTTTCTAGTAGTTCTGCTACTGTTCCATTGCCTAGCAATTTTCTCTGTTTTTCCAGCTAACATTTCTGTGCAGATTACCTACATCAAAAGTGCTTTAGAAAACATTATAAAAGGAGCCCCAAACGAAGCCCAAAATTGCATTCTACTTTATATTGCATTGTTAAGTATCATATGCTCCAATTTTGATTTATTTTTTCCGTTTGAATTGAGCTTTTTTATCAAAAACAGGACAAACTGTAAACTTTTTATATAGTTCTAACCATTTTTATTATGTAATGACTTATGATCAGGTTGAATACCAATTCAGTGATGCAAATTTGATTTTTAGCGATTTACTTGTGAAGATTATTAACAAAGATCCTGAAGGATATGGTAAGAAAATTACAAATAAATAGTAATTAGCTTTACATTCTTAACTCTCATATGTATTTTTTTCTTTCAGTTCCAATGTCTGTTATTGCCTCTTGGAAGAAGATAAAAAATCTCGGGGTTAACAATCAGATGCTTGTTAAAGCTCTTAGAACATCATTACAACTTGTAAATTTCCTCTAAACCTCCTCTTATGGTTCCTATAATTTGTTAAGATAATGTCAATGCTATTTCTTTTTGTTTTTTTCTTCGTTTGTTAATTCAGGAGGTAAATGAAGATGGAAAGAAAGTTAGGCGAAAGAAGCTCTTTACAGAGAGAGCCAAAGAGGAGCAGATGGTTATTGACATCAAACTCTACCAAATAGTATTATAAAACTATATTTGACTACTTATTCTTCTGACATATTTGTTTTCATTTACAGTCGCGCACTGTTGTAGTTGAAAATTTACCAGAGGATTCCTCACACCAAAACATCGAGAAGTTATTCAGCGTAGTTGGAAGGTTTGAAAAACAAGGTTTTAGCTAATATTTCACTGAAAAATATGAAGAAATGGAAACATTTTAATGAAATAACGAGGTTATTTACATGTAACAGTGTTAAGAATATCAGAATATGTCATCCTCAAGAGCCTAATTCAACTAGGCCTTCAAAGACTGACGTTATAATTAGTAACAAGGTAATTTCTTCACAGTAGAAAAAAGTTCCATGGCATCAATTCTTATAGTTTTCAAGTTAACATAAATTGTATATTTTGTATAAAAAAAAAATTTGTATATTTTGTATTATTTTCACCAAATTATCATGATTCTCTGTCATATAGTTGCATGCATTTGTGGAGTTTGAGACAATTGTTCAAGCAGATAAGGCCGTAAGCCCTCACCTTAATTTCTTCACTATTCATTTGTTTTTGTTTTTTTTTTCAAATAAGTGCTTCTGCTTTATTTAGTTTTGTTTGGGACGGCTTTCTTACTGCTTCATAAATCAGTTTTTTCTAGCACAAAATTTTAAATTTTTATACTAGAAAGTTGATTTAAGAAGCAGTAAGAAACCGTCCTAAGAAAAGCCTTAGATAACTTAGAGAATGCATTGAATTTATATAGGTAGAGAAGCTAAATGATGAGAGCAATTGGAGGAAAGGTCTGCTTGTGAGATCATTGCTTAAATGCACGGTAATTTACTTTAAAATTGACATGTTAGTGGTTCACTTTTTCTTTAAATGGTTCTTAATTATAAATTGGAGACAATATGTGAATAATGTTTCAGCAAGCTTTACAAGTTTTGCACTTTTTCCCTTCAGCCAAGATCAGTAATCAGAGGCAAAATGTTGGACTATGATCATTTTGACTTGAACTCGGAGGATGATCAGTCTCCCCTCTCTCAAAAATTAGAATCTCCCAAAATTGAACAAGTACTTCAACAGGATGTAAGCTTTTTTTTTTTTTTGTGTTGTGATAATATATTAACATTCAGGCGTTTGGGACGGTTTTCTTATTGTTTCGTATAGCGGCTTTCTAGTAAAAAATTTTAACGTTAGCAATAGAAAGCTGCTTTACGTAAGAAAGTTGTCCCAAACGAAACCTTAATTGCAAATTGAATTCAAGATAGAAGTGAAGTTTCTCATCACAGGTTGGTGAAAATCAAAATGGTGCAAAGAAAGCATGTGGAAGGGGACAAGGGAAACAAACTGGCCAGGTTCAAAATAACAACGGTCGCGGTGTTTTATCCAAAACTCCACAAGAAACACAAAAGATTGGGAATGGACTGTGTGAGAACAATATCAAGCAAACTTCTCCTGGACCAAGGATGCCCGATGGAACTCGGGGATTCACTATGGGCAGAGGAAAGCCATTAAAATCACTGACGACCACAACTGATCTTTCTCTCATCAATCTTTGAGCTTTTTACTTTTTGCCTTCTCTTGTTTTGAAATGGTCCTAGCATGTTTTTCAATGCTTGAATAGTAATTCTTTCATGTTTTCTACTGTTTATCTTGTTGTATTTCGTTATAATGTTTTGGAATTTATTTATTAACTTGTTTGTTTGTTTGTAATAAAAAGCTCTGTTACTATACTCGGAAGTCATTATTGCAGGGATGCAGTTCAAAAATAAATGATAATTATTAGATACTAAATAATGTAACAATGTATTTATTATAACCTGTATCCCTCTGACACGTGTAACTAGGCTTAGTATAATCTATATATACTCTACCGTCTCCTGTTGTAAAGATTAAGACATTGTAATGAAAAGCTTGCTTAGTTCTTCTTTACTTCTCTCTGGTTTCTACATGATATCAGAAGTTTGGTGTTTCTGAGGCGTCTCCATGGCCAACTCGGCTTCCGCCTCTTCCTTCTCCAACAATGGCGATCGATCGGGAGTTACATCCGACATTTCGCTCATACATTCGTCTCTTAATTTTGTAATCTCTAACCTAAAATCCCTTATACCGCACCCCCTTTCATCGGAAAATTACCCGATCTGGAGCAGTCAAGTTCAAAAGCTTCTAAGGGCAAATGGCTTTCAAGCTTTTCTCGATCCGGAAGCATCTTCATCGATGTCAGCTAACGATCAAGAACAAGAAAATCAAGATCCTAATCTGCGACACCAAAGATGGCTGCTCACGGATCAAAATTTAGCCGCAGCTCTCTGTGCGACAATCTCGCCTCAAATTCTTCCATACGTAGTTCATCTTGAATCTACGGTAGAAATATGGAAAACATTGCAAATTCAATTTCAGTGGACGAATCGTTCCAAAATCATTCAACTGAAAAATGAATTGCAAAACATTTCTATGAATACTCTGTCCATGACGCAATATCTCACAGAGGTTAAAAAGCTCGTGGATCAAATTGCTTATGCTGGCGCCAAAATGGATCCCGAAGATGTTCTTCATCACATCTTGAACGGACTCCCACAAACTTACAATTCCTTCAAAACTGCCGTAAGAACAATGCAGACGTTGCTGAGTCTAGACAATCTTTATGCTCTCCTCATCAGTGAGGAAATCCACGTCAAATCCGACGCCGCCAGGCATGTGACGGTGTCCGATACTCAATCGGCTCTCTACACAGATAAGGGAAGATCTAGAAGAGGCCGTGGTCGTTCTACAGGCCATCAGCAAACCCGTTCAAACAGCACCTCTCATCTGGTGTGTAAAATTTGTGCAAAGAAGGGTCATAGTGCGGATGTTTGCTGGCATCGCCTCAACCCAAATTTTACTCCATCAATGAACTCGAAGAAGTCCACCAACGCGTTGCTGTCGACGACTGATCTTTCCAACGATGACTGGTATCTTGATTCCGGAGCCTCGGCGCACATGACCAATGCTCTGGACAATCTTGCTAACAGCAAAGAATACAGCGGGTCCGACAACGTCGCCATCGGGGATGGAAGAACATTACCCATAGCTCACTCGGGCACGGGTATTCTTCCCACCCCGACTCGTAAGCTTCATCTTTCCAAACTCTTACACAGACCAGCTATATCGCATAATTTACTTTCCATTTCTCATTTAGTTAAAGATAACAACATCTCTATAACTTTTGATGCAAATGGTTTTACTTTTAAAGATCTTACTACTAATCAGCAGATCCTCAAAGGCAGCAGTAATAAAGGGTTGTACAGGCTTTCATCTGCAACTCACAACGACAGGAAACGAGCTCTGGTGGCTTCTTCCGTCTCGGCAACTGACTGGCACAATCGGCTTGGACATCCGAATACCCAAGTTATTCGGCACATCTCCAACAGCAATGTTTCTTTACATATTCCTAGTTTTAAATTCTACTGTTCTTCTTGTCTGACTTGCAAAAGTCACAAACTTTCTTTTCCTCATTCTAGTAACAGAAAAAGGAAAATTCTTGAACTTCTTCACTCTGATGTTTGGGGACCTTCACCGGTACCTTCACATCAAGGATTTTGTTACTATGTAATCTTCATTGATGATTTTTCTAGGTTCACATGGCTTTTTCCTATTATGTTTAAATCTGATGTCACTAAAATTTTCATAGATTTTGTCAATTTTATTGAGCGCCAAACGAACCAGAAAGTTAAAGCAATTCGCACGGATGGTGGTCGAGAATATATTAACAATCATTTTAAAAATTTCACTCGATCCAAAGGCATTCTACATCAAATTTCTTGTCCGTATACTCCGGAACAAAATGGGATAGCGGAGAGGAAAGATAGGCATATTATTGAACAACGAGAACTTTGCTTCACACAGCCTCCATGCCTCACAAGTTTTGGGCAGATGCAGCCTTAACGGCAACTTATCTTATTAATCGCTTTCCTTCTGTTAATACAGACTTGGTGTCTCCATTGCAGCTAATGTTCAAGATCAAACCATCGTATGAACATCTTAGAACATTTGGCTGTGAATGTTACACTCTAACGCCGTCGCACAATAGAAATAAACTACAACCAAAGTCGGCTGTTACAGTTTTCATGGGCTACTCGGACACTCAAAAAGGCTATAAGTGCATGAATATACATACTAAACATATAATTATTTATAAACACGTATCTTTTAATGAAAAATCCTTTCCATTTCAGCAGTCAAGGAATCTTGCCACTCAACCGGTCACTGAAGTAGCACCAGCCCGGCTTCTACCTACTTCAATGACTTGGACGAAACCAACTTCTGCTCATACATCTGGGTCATAGACAGCTACTCTTCTGGAACCGCAAATCATCTCTACGCAACCATCGCTGCATGACAATACTACGTCCGACAATTCCCAAACACTGCCTATTGTATCTCCTGTACAACAACATCAACCCAAACATCCCATGGTTACTCGTCTTCAAACCGGTTCATTAAAACCAAGTCGCAAGTTCAATTTGGCTCATATAGAAACTGAGTCTGTTCCCAGTTTGGACCCGACCACGTATCACGAAGCTAACAAGAGCATTCACTGGAGACAGACAATGGCATCTGAGTTTCTGGCATTACAACAACAAGGAACTTGGGACTTAGTTCCTCCACCTTCAAACGTGCTTATCCTAGGCTGCAAGTGGACTTATAGAACAAAATTGAACTCAGATGGATCGATAGCGCGCTACAAAGCTCGCTTAGTTGCGCAAGGAAATAGACAGGAACATGGCTTGGACTACAGTGAAACATTTAGTCCGGTAGCAAAATTACCTACTATTAGAATTCTTTTCACAATTGCGTTATTTTATGGTTGGCAGGTAGAACAATTAGATGTGACCAATGCTTTCCTACATGGCACACTTGATGAATCTGTTTACATGAAGCAACCGAAAGGGTTCGAAGATACAAATCAACTGAATCATGTCTGCTTGTTACGCAAAGCCATATATGGCCTCAAACAAGCGCCTCGACAGTGGTTCACAACTTTCACAAATCATCTTCTTGCAATCAGATTTACTCACAGCAAGGCAGATCAATCTCTGCTCACGTTCCATAAATCCAACATTAGTATCTATTTTCTGATATACGTGGATGATATCCTCGTCACTGGAAATGACACTGCCGCAATTCAACGTCTTCTTTTTCAGATCAAGCAAAATTTTTTAATAAAACATCTCGGACCTGCGCACCATTTTCTCGGCATTAAAATTAGGCATGACTCAGATAAGTATTTTCTTTGTCAAACTTCTTATGCAAAATCTTTATTACAGCAAGTGCATCTCAGCACTTGCAACTCAATTGCTAATCCTTCATGTACCAGAATACCAGACGATGTTGAGACTCGCACTCCGGCGTTCGATCACTCCACGTACAGAAGGTTAACCGGAGCATTGCAGTATCTTACCATAACTCGCCCGGACATTGCGTTTGCGGTCAACATTCTTTCCCAGCATATGCATGATCCTAGCAACATTCACTGTTTCCTGCTCAAGAGATTACTTCGGTACATTCATGGGACGATTGACTTCGACTTACCCATCACGAAATCGTCTCTTCAACTCACCACATTCTCCGATGCGGACTGGGCAGGAGATCAAGAAACCAGAAAATCCACATCTGGTTTTTGCACGTTTCTGGGCGGAACTTTGGTATCGTGGACTGTAAAGAAACAGAACACGGTTTCGCGTTCATCTACCGAATCAGAGTACAGGGCTTTAGCGGCTGCAATCGCTGATACCATTTGGATTAAAAAGCTACTGCTAGATTTCGGTATTCAGCACAACAGCAAAATTGATCTATTCTGTGACAATACCTCGGCGATTGCATTAGCCAACAACCCAGTGTTCCATGCAAGAAACAAACATATTGAAATTGATCAGCGGTTCGTAAGAGATCAAATTCAAACAAATAACATTCAATTGACACCGATTAGCACTACAGATCAAGTAGCGGACATTCTCACAAAACCACTATCTACCAACAGGTTCAAGTTTTTAAGATCCAAACTGACGATAGCCTCTGAATCATCAGTTTGCGGGGGAATATTAGATACTAAATAATGTAACAATGTATTTATTATAACCTGTATCCCTCTGACACGTGTAACTAGGCTTAGTATAATCTATATATACTCTACCGTCTCCTGTTGTAAAGATTAAGACACTGTAATGAAAAGCTTGCTTAGTTCTTCTTTACTTCTCTCTGGTTTCTACAATAATCAGAATTGAGTTCTTAAGCATTAATAGAGATTAGTTTATCACAATAGTTTTGTTGAGGCTTCATCAACTAGAACCTGCAACAAAACTCTTTGCATAACTGAGAGAACGAGTACAGATAACAGGAAGAAAGGTTAGAGGAAGCAGAACAGTTTTCTCATTAGTTCTTTACTGTGAACAGTTCAAATCGTTCATACTAGCAAAGACAAAACCAAATCATTACAGCTGCAGGTTTTGTCACAAGTTAACGGCTAAGATTAAAGTAAAGAATTGAGATGTATGGTGTAGATCAAGACAGCAGAGGAAGTCGCAAACAATGGTAGTGGATCTGCTGTGGCAGCTTTTAGCCGGTTAACAAGTTTTACGAAGTCTTTCCAAATGCTTGGGAGAATCCTGATTATGATGATGATGATTATAGTTCTGTGTAATTTAGACTTGATCTAAAGAAATGAAATCATAAGATTATCATGATTAGATGCTTAATGGATCTATTTGCAAGTTATCTTCACTCTTCATTAGTAATTACCTCATATTATTAAGCATATTTTCTAACAATTCGTAAGGCATCATTCATCAAAGAATAGCTGAACATATAAATGGCATTCACTTGACAAATTGGGAGCGGAGCATTGCGGCGCTCCAAAGTCCAAATCCTTGCTTTGCCAAGGAGCGCTATAGCTGTAATACCTCACAATATCCTTAACAGTACTGTAGAGTATCACATACATAAACATAATATTTTTCCATCATCTATCTTATGATACTTTTCATTATTTGAAAATTGATATAAAACATCCAATAACATTTCATTTACTACATAAATGAAAGTATCTAATAAATTATCGAAGTTTATAAAAAAAAATTCATGTGAACAGCAGAAGAAAGGCTATTGTTGATAGAAATAATTATTAGTATTCGAGCATTTCATCGAGATTAGCACTTATAATCAGTTATTATTAGTATGGTAATGATCGTGCTTCAGTCTCGATTATATCAAAGCTCCATTTGGAATAATTTTTTTACTGTTTTCTAAACCAGATTTTTAATACAAAGTTTTTAATTTAAAAAAAAAAAAACATTGTACTAAAAACTGCTTAAAAAAAGTTAAAAAAATTATTCCAAACAAAGTCTAAAATAGAAACAACCGTGGACCGTACCTCTGATTTCATTGCTAATATATGATATAGATTAGATTGAGGAAAATTTTAAAGATAAATAGCTTATAAATGCACTCCTAAGGAATTTTATGATGCAATAATTTCGAGAATAATATGCGGCGCAAATAAGAGCTTGTGAGAAAATAAGAATAAAATTAAAATTCGGTTTCAATTGTTAAGAATCAGATTTCCTATAAGTCATAAATAAATTTTATGACGTAGATCCTAGCATCTTTGAATTTTTGTTCTTAGATTTTTTGCATATAGAATTATTTATGACTTTGGACATGATTTAAATCCAATAAGAACCTGATTTCAATAGCTTTTTATTTATTTATTTATTGCATTCTAACTACAGTCAATCATATAATGGATTTGACATATTTCATTATTTTAAAAGCATGATTTCTAATATTAAGCAACCAAATTAAAATTTATTTTAGAAAATGATGATTTTATTTTCACCAATTTGAAGCGTGCGTTTTAGAGTATTTTTGTGTTTAAAATCATATTAATTCGAATGATAGTTTAAAAAGTTCAATCTCTTTCAAAACATTAGGCAATCAAATGAGCCATTAGCATAATATTCTAAAAAGCCAACAAGTTGTTAGCATTAAGTCTTAATTTGGGATGACTTTTTTTCTGCTTCTTAAAGCAATTTTTTATACAATTTTTAATTTTGTACTAAAAAACTGCTTTAAGAAGCAATAAAAAAAGTCTCAAAAGAAGCCTAAAGCCTAAAGCAACAAGTTACTAAGGCTTCGTTTGGGACGGTTTTTTCATTGTTTTCTAAAACAGAGTTTTAATACAAATTTTTTTATTTTTTTATAGTACAAAAATTATTTTTTTCTACTAAAAAACTGCTTCAAGAAACAGTAAGAAAGCTGTCCCAAACGAGGCCTAAGTCACTTCAATTGCTAATTGGCTTTTCAAATCCTAGCAATCCAATCCAGTCTGGTCTCCCTGAGCCAAGATTTCCTCAGCTATTTTGAAATTATCAAAGCACCATTCAAACAATTCTGTCCGGGTCAAAGTTGAAAGCAAACCAAAGCGTGAATCAAGCCTCATTTTTCTGGCGCCAAATAAGGATCTTCTTCCAACTAACATAACTGTTCCGAGAAAAATTGCCACCACAAAACCACCAAAAAACAAGTGAAATATATAAGGATCAAAAGGTAAAGACTATCATAGATTCTCACCAAGAAGGAAAGAAAAAAAAAAGTAGAAGCAATGGCAGATGAGAAGAAAGAAGTGAAACACACGATGATCAAGGCAATGCAATATCAGAGCTCAAGCGCCACGGCTGCCGCTGAGTTCAAGTTAAATCCAAACGCACCCGAATTCTTCCCTGATCCTTTCATCCAGATGCCGACACCAAATTACTTCTGCCAATATCTTAAATTCCTCAACGGCAGCAGCGGCGGAATGGAACCAGATTGTATCTACTTTGAAGATCAGAAACCAAAGAATTTTGTCCCTGAATTAAACGTCAAGGCTTCTAATCTGAACAAGAACAGCACTGATCGGATTCAGAAGATTGTGAAACAGGTTCTTCTTTTTAATTGTCTTTCTTTTTACATAGCAAGTAAAGGAACATAGAAGTTTGGTTTTAAGTCCATATCTTCCAACTTTGATCATTCTTCTGTTTGAAATGAATTTTTTTAACAAAACAATAACAATTATGCAATGACTTATGATCAGGTTGAATACCAATTCAGCGATGCAAAATTGATTGCAAGTGATTTCCTTGTGAAGATTATGAGCAAAGATCCCGAAGGATACGGTACCAAAATTACAAATAAATATTAATTAGCTTAAGAAGTATCTTGATATAAACTCTTAATTCTCATATGCATTTTTTTCTTACAGTTCCAATGTCTGTCATTGCCTCATGGAAGAAGATACAAAATCTCGGTGTTAACAATCAGATGCTTGTTAAAGCTCTTAGAACATCATCACAACTTGTGAATTTCCTATAAATCTCCTCTTCTGGTTCCTATAATTTATTAAGATAATTTCAATGTTATTTCTTTTTATTAATTCAGGTGGTGAGTGAAGATGGCAAGAAAGTGAGACGCAAGAAGCTCTTTACAGAGAAAGCCAAGGAGGAGCAGATGGTTATTGACATCAAACTCTAGCAAATAGTATTATAAAACTATATTTGACTACTTGTTTTTCTGATATATTTGTTTTCATTTACAGTCGCGCATGGTTATAGTAGAAAATTTATCAGAAGATTCTTCACGCCAACACATTGAGAAGTTATTCAGCATTGTTGGAAGGTTTGATAAATGAAGTTTTTAGCCAATGTTTCACTTAAAAGATGAAGAAATTGTCACATTTCAATGAAATAATGATATTATTTTTTATATGTAACAGTGTTAAGAATATCAGAATCTGTCATCCAAAAGAACATAATTCAACTAGTCCTTCAAAGATTGATGTTATAATTAGTAACAAGGTGATTTCTTCACGTCAGAGAAGTTTCCATGACATATCAATTCTTATAGTTTTTAAGTAACATAAATTATATATTTTTTTATAATTTTCTCTGAATTATAATGATTCTTTTTCATATAGTTGCATGCATTTGTGGAGTTTGAGACAACAGTTCAAGCAGCCAAGGCTGTAAGCTCTCATCTTAATTTTTTCACTATTCTTGTTATATATTGAAATAAGAGCTTATGCTTTATTTGGATAACATAAAGAATAGATGGAATTCATATAGGTAGAGAAGCTAAATGATGAGAGCAACTGGAGGAAAGGACTTCGTGTGAGATCTTTGTATAAATGCATGGTAATTTACCTTTAAATTGATATATTTGCATTTCAGTTTCACTCTAAATGATTCTGAATGATAAAAAGAAGACAGTATGCGAATTATGTTGTATCAAGCTTTACATATATTGAACATTTTCCCTTCAGCTAAGATCAGTAACCAAAGGCAAAAGGTATGATCATTTTGACTTGAACTCAGAGGATGATCAGTCTCCTTTCTCTCAAAAATTAGAATCTCCCAAAATTAAGCAGGCACTTCAACATAATGTGAGCTTTTTCTTTGTAAACATCAATCTAACATTTTGTATAGCAAATTGAATTCCTGATAGAAGTAAATTTCTCTTCACAGATTAGTGAAAATCAGAATGGTGCAAGGAAAGCATGTGGAAGAGGACGAGGAAAACTAAATGGACTTGTTCAAAACTACAATGGTCATGGTATTTTATCCAAGGGGGGGGATTAATGGGGGGCTTAGGGGGGAATTAGGATTATCTTGAATTTGAATTGTAATTTGAGATCTCATCGTGTGCTAGGGCTCTAGGGTTTGCTAGAGACTTGTGGAGGGTTGTTCTTCCTCTCGAATTGAAGAACATTGTATCTTTTATTGCTTTCTCGCATCTAATAGTGAACTCCTTTGTTTTTATCCACGTTTCTCGTTGTTTCTATTCAAAATCTGTTGCGTTTGGGCTGATTTACTGATGTAAACAGTAGTTTTCTCGCTAATTTCGATTATGTTTGCTTGCGAACTCAAGTAATCCCTTAGGGTTACTTGCGAACTCAAGTAATCCCTTAGGGTTACTTGCGAACTCAAGTATTTCCTATCAGAAACCCCCTAAAAATAAACCTAAACTCTTAAACATCAAGGGACTTTTTGCTGTAACGACCAGAATTTTATTAGAAACTTTAAAGTTAAGCGTGCTCATATAGGAGAAATCTCGAGATGGGTGGACCTCTTGGGAAGTTACACCTATCGAACAAAATCTTAAGATCATTGCGCCAAAGTATACAATATTTCAAATGTCAAGTGTTTGGGCTGCTGCATCTTTCCCCTTTCAAGATTTGAGCTTCGAACTTGTTGATTTCTCATATTTTGAAATGGTCCTAACTTATTTTTCCATGTAAATAATATTTTACTTGTTTTTTTATTTTTTGTCATGTTGTATTTCTTCAACATTTTTTAAAGTTTCAGAATTTATTTATGTAACTTATTTGTTGAATTGAATAAATTTGGTGTATGGTTTGGTGACCTTTGTCTCAAGTACTATTAATGTTGCTTAGGTTTATTACCAGTAATTGATAAAAGTTTTATCTTCTTGCCCTTGGAAATCATTATTGCTGGGATGCAGTACAAAAGGTAGTGATCGGAATAGAGTTCTTATGCATCGTTAGATATTACTTCATCACAACAGCTTTGCAAAGTCTTTTCAAATAGTTGGGATAAGGCTGATTATGATGATGATAGTTCTGCATAATTTAGTCTTAGAAATGAAATCATAAGAGTATCATGTTTAAATACTCAAAGAATTGCAGGTTATCTTCAGTAGTAATTATCTCATATTATTCAGCATATTTAATAGCCATTAATAAGGCATCATTCATCAAATAATAGTTGAACAAAAAATACATAATATGTCTGATGTTAGGAAATCAGATTTCCTAAATTGAAATCAGATTTCAATAGTTAGGAAGTGAGATTTACTATATTAAGCTAAATTCAAATCTCATTTCAATTTGTTAGAAAATCAAATTTCTTATATTAAGTTAATTTCTAGGAAAACACATTTCCTATATCGAGCAACATACAAATATTATTCAGTATTCAGATATAAATATATTACACTTTTTTGACATTTACGTCAATTAAGGCAAACTTACGCACACATCACATCTGCAAGCTTTGAACCCAAAACATCTTCGTTGGTAGTCAAAGTTCCAAATCAACATATCAAGACGAGCTGTGTGATGTAGTACCTATCTAATATAGACCGAGTAAATAATCTAAGGTTATAAATTACTCATATTGATCTAAAAATTTTGAGAAGATCTATTGTTTGGGGGGCATATGTCACCAAAATTGATTTGCAAAGGTATGAATCACACAGGAAGGTTAACTTGAAAACATTTGAATTCAAATTCAAACCATCTAAAATCTTATTTCAAAAAATTTACAGTCAAATTACATGCCTCGATGTGGCCCAATCTGAGTTCAAATGAGCCTGGATTAAGCACTTAAAGCGCAATAAAAAAAAACTTTGGGATATTAATTGGAGGATCAAATGATCTCCAAATTTTACATATCCATAATAAAATTGAGTGATTTGATGAGACAAATTCAAAGAGTTATAAATTGCTTAATTCTAACATTATTAAGATGCTTAAATGCTTTAAAAAAAATATAAAATATTGAGAGATTCAATACAAATCGTCCGATAGAGTGTTCCAAATTTTGACTATATTTACGGGAATCTCAATAATCTAAAAATAGATCTCGCTCTCTACATAAAAGGGGTGTCGGGATATTGGCTTGAGATTCAAGAGCTCGAAGGTTTAAAGAATGTCGAAGCTCCACCAAGCATCAACATCCAATCGTTGACATCGAATTACCACCCGACTACAACCTATGAACCACCGTCAGATCACCACCATCGCCTAATTGCCACCATCGAACCATCACCCAATCGCCACTATCAAGCCATCGCCTAACCTCTATCATTTGGGCATTGCCTAACTGTAACCCTTGGATCACCGCCCGACCGTTGTGGCCAACACACTGCCTGATTGTTATCATCAACCCACCATTTGATTGTTGATATTGCTATCTAACAATTGTTGCTTGATTATTCTCTTTTAACCATCGTTGTTTGAATGCTTTATGGTGTCGAATGTTGGCCATTAAAAAGAAGCATGATACTAAATTAAGTGTTGCATAAATGAGGATGCTTAGGTGGATGAGTGGCTTTACCCTTAGAGATAGGATACGAAATGAGAATATATGTGAAAAGGTTGGAGTAGCTTCAATGGAAGATAATATTAGAGAGAGTCTCCTTAGATGATTTGGTCGCATTAAACGGGGCGTTCCGATGACCCGGTTAGGAAACATGAGGTATTAGATTTGACTTATGTTAAGAAAGGTAGAGGTAGACCTAAAAAGGCTTGGTTAGAAAATTTTAGAAATGATCTTTCCTTATTAGATTTAAATGATAACTTGACTTTTAACATGACACATGACGAAAAATGTTTCATGTAGCCGACCCCACGTAGTGGGACAAAGGCTTTATGTTGTTATTATTTTAGCCATCGTTGTCTGACTATGGTCTCCTAATCATTATAGCTTAATATGATCCTTTGAACAATAATGTTTGACTATTATCATCTGACCACCATTACTCTTATCTTTAAAAACTAGCATCCGAAATTTTTCATTGAGTAATGGATTTGCCATTCCAATTAATTTTCCCTTATCTTAAAATAATGGCATTGCCTTCAACCAAAGAGTGAAGATTAATAATGTATGTCAAGTAATTAGAAACACGAATACTTTTTGAATAATTAAACTCTTGGACTCTATAGTTTTCAAAGATATAAAAAGTTGTTGCATCTAAATCTTGAACAAGTATAATCTTGATTTTATGATGTAGAAGTGATAAGATAACTATAAATTTGTTATAAAAACTAATAGGAATACACTAGTTTATTTCTTTTTATTGGTATTATAAATATGTCCTTTTTTTTTAAAGATGAATAGAAACTTCTTTATATCTCTCACACATTGGTAGATCTGGTTGCATTTTCCAATGCAAATTTTTTTTTGAAGTTATTGAGAAAGCAGAAAAAAAGGTAAATAAACTAAGCATAGTTGTGGTAAGAAGAACAAAGCAATCAGAAAGATGCCCGAAAGAAGCCCAAAATTGATAAGCCACTCCACTTATCATAAATATGTAAGCAGCAAGATACCAGCTCTCTTAGCCATTTCCTCAACCTTGTACATCGCCATGCCCATAGTTCCACTCAAATGAATCATTACTAGCTCTGTTCTTCGGTTGTAAATGCAGAATTGTCTGCTTCCTTCTTCTTACTATATATACTAGTCACTATACCTCACATGAGAACAAAGGAGATTAATGAGAAACACACATTTCATGGTTTTTATCATGTTCTTTGTACTTCTCTAATTTATTCATTCTTACATGGTATCAGAGCCATAACAAAGCCTAACAGCTATTCTTCTACTCATCTTCCTCAATGGCTAACTCTTATAGTACTTCAAAGACGTCGCTAATTACTGTCGTAATACCAGACACCACAACACCCTCATATTTGAAATTCCTGGTATCATGATTTTTGTAACAATAAATCAATAATATTGTTAATAATAATCCACAGTAATATGAATAATGTCCCAATAATATTCATTTCAGTAGTTTCACTAAATAAGTAAGAATTTATTGCTACACGATGTTTTTTAATATCGTATTAGTGTTAGTAAATTGTTGGCTCAGTAAACAGAGTCAACACTATTTGTCCGTCAGCACAATATCATCTCCTTATAACTCTCAATCAATAAAACACGCGAATCAGTCAAACATAACCCCAAACTATATATTTAAAGGAAAGCTCGTTCACCCACCATCTTGTATAAGTCAATAAGTCTCCAACTAATGGGTCAATCAGTCTTTACTTATCGTTTACATATATATTATTATCACAGTACTATAACAATAATAACAACTCGTTATTACTCAATCAAATATCTACATTCATTTTCAATACATTGCAGTAAATAAATCATAATTGTGCTTAATTTAGAATAAGCCAAAATGTCATAACGGTAGATAACAAAAAACAAACTGAGCAAAATTCACATTTTAGAATTTAACAACATCACCAAATATAGTATAAAATAACATTCTTAAGATTTAGTTGACATGTGCTTCTTGCGTGGTCCGCTTACACAAGTCTCCAAATAGCGCCAAAATAAAGCACAACCTCTGCTTCGTGCGTGATAAGATATGTTTACGCAAACTGTTCCACTGGCCCGTTTCCTATAATCTGCATCTTCTTTTGTGCGAACCCAATGTCAAATTTGCTTGCCCGTTTGCGGGGCGTCTTCAATTTCTTAAATACACTGTTTGCAATACCATTGCTTATTGGATTAGGGGGGCAATCATTCCTAAAGCTTGCTTAAAAAGTCTTAGCAGGATATGTGCCAAATTTCTCTACTTTGGTGATTTGGAGGCAAAAAAAGCTACATCTCATTGCTTGGAAACAGATTTGCAAACCCAAAAAGAATGGTGGCTTGGGCATTCCGGATTTTTTGGGTCTCTAATTTGCTAATCTTTGCTCACTTATATTCAGATTCTATAATGCCAAATCACCTCTGTTTACATTCTTGAATGCGAAATATGGTTCCCCTTGGAACTTGCCTCAGAGTATTGCTTATCCCTTTTGGAAGGAAATTGGGAC